TATATATATATATCTATAAATACACTTCATATTAACGCACGATTAATTTCCAGGATCGAGGAACGATTCAAATTTCTCAACTTGCCTTTTTCATCACGATTTCTACGAGCCAATCCTTGACGAGTCTTTAGAGTTATTTTCTATATTCGCGATGAAAGAACGAAAGAGTGCAGGATTCGTCAAATTTTTCGACCTTTTTTCTTTTTCTCAATCGACGCGTCGTCTCTCTCCAACCGCATTGAATTCGATTACCACATCTCTACCCGTCTGCAACAACTTATCAACGTGTAACGCGCCCGCCATAATTACTTGCGCCACGTCCGATGATCGTTCGATCGACGGGAGGGACGACGATACGAGCTCACGTCGTTTCACTTTACATTCACGAGGACGAGCCCCGACGATAATCGAGCAGGTAATTGCAAGCTCGCTCGTGAAACTCGCGTGCAAATCTCACCGTATCTCGCGGCCGTATCGGGGGATAATTCTCGGCTCGATCGGAGGAAAACGGAGAGAAACGGTGAGATGGAAGTGGATCTCGTTTCTATTCCCCGGTTGGAATACACGATACGCACGAAATGGCGGGGCGATTTAATCCAAACGATGCCGATCGGAAAACGTTTCTGCGTCTCTCTCTTATAAACCGTGTCAACGACCGCTCGAAACCCGTCCGCGTTAAATTGAAAACGAAACGGGCCTCGAGTGGCGATCCACCCACGCGACTCTATTCCCATAATCGACCGGTTGTTTATTAATTGATCCTCCTCGAGACCGATACCCCGTTTGCGATATGAGATCGGACGGGAGTGAAACGAGGCGGTTTCAGCTTAATCGAGGAGGATTCGAGCGGTAGTAGAGAGAGTTTTTCTCGGTAATTGTTGTCTCTGAGGGAAGAGAGAGAGAGAGAGAGGGTGAGATCGAGATTTTAATGGGGCACGGTCATCCACGAGTGGCGAGCATTAAAACAAATCTACCCGCTTGGAAACGATCTCTGATACTCATCGACGATCAGAGTTTCTCCATGGGGACATTGGAGACAGGAACCAGTCTATAACTGGAAGCTATTACCCTTTTTCAGAGTGAAGAGAGGCATTCGTGGAATGGCGGTGTGAAGGAGGTGTGAATTTATTTAAACATCCTCTTGGCGGATCTCCTATGCCGTTTGGGATCTATTTGAAGCTACTATTCACTCTTACGCGGCGATTTGAATCTGGTTTTTGATTAGAAGAGGATTATTCGCGCGAGTTAATCGGCTAGAATCGATGCGATTTAACATTGAGCGGATGTATGGGATGGATAATAAAAGATACGTGGTGGTAAAGATAACGATCTAATGTATTTTGTTAAGAAGATAGGTGGGAAAGATGAAGAGGATGATTTGCTTTCAGAAAAATTGGTTTGATTTAGATTGTTATTGATGAAGAAATTGGAAGTTGTGAAAATTTTGAAATATTGTAGAAATTGTTTCAAATTATTGGATCTATGATTAGGAATGATTAGGAATTGAGAAGAACGTTACAAGTCAGTCAAGTAATTAAAGGTTCACACCAGTTTTCAAATATTAAATTCAAGTAATTTGACTAATCTCAATGATATTTCAAACGATATTTTTATTTCGATATGGAGAAATGAGATACGTGGTATTTCGTGGTATTTAATTTTTAATTTTGAACCAATTAAGTTAAAAATGGCAGAGTAGATTTTGTATTATTCGATAAGAAAAATATGACGTTTCATATTGTTTAGTTTAATCTATTATAATTTACACAGTTTAAATCAATGAATAATTTTTTAAAATGAATTTCAATTCACAAATTCACATCTTCCATGATTTAATCATTGTAATTCATATACGTAGATTTAACTTTCGCAAATCTTCACGGATTAACATTTCTAGAATAACAGATTTCTTGTTTCAATTATTATCTCATAGACTCTTGCAGAAAGTTAAACGCCTAATTTCAACTGTATGGATGAGTATATACACCACGACAAAATATTGCACACAATCAAATCAGATTTAGGATGTCGATACCTAATCAACTCGGGATAAAGAGAAGATAATGTCAGGCCACGATAGGCCGCTGACCTCTTCCAATTTATCCAGATCCAGACGGTAGTCACACCAAATCGAATCACATGGAGATACGCGGTCATAATCTCGTCGAGTGCATATCCACCTTTGATAAAATTGTCCACATACTCACCACTCTCATAATTCATTCAACACGGCGACAAGTTCACCGAAGTAAAATCTCATTTTCCTCGATATAATCGGTGGTGCACGGAACATATCGAATCGCGTACGATCCCTTTACAATTAGTCGCGCTCATTAATAATCGTTATCCGGGCAAATCGTCGAATTTATTACACGTCCGCAACTGGGTGTTCGCGTTTATCGTTGAATTAACGTGTTTTCATCCGCGGCAAACTGGTCCTCCTGTTATCGGTTCTCAGAGAGAGAGAGAGAGAGAGAGAGAGAGAGAGAGAGAGAGAGAGAGAGAGAGAG